AATATAATATAATATAATATAATATAATATAATATAATATAATATAATATAATATAATATAATATTATATTATATTTATATAAAAAAATATAAATATATTGTCTCTTCTTATACACCCCACACATGGAGACACCTATACACCCCACAAACAAGCAGAGCTCAGCCTCAGGCCTAAGCAGCACCGCTGCAGCAGCTGCAGCAGCTAGCTAGCTGCAGCTAGCCACACAGCTAGCTAGCCGCAGCTAGCCACACAACTAGCCACACAGCTAGCTGCGCAGCTAGCCACACAGCTAGACACACAGCTAGCCACAGCTAGCCACACAGCTAGCCACAGCTAGCCACACAGCTAGCCACAGCTAGCCACACAGCTAGCCACGCAGCTAGCCACACAGCTAGCCACGCAGCTAGCCACACAGCTAGCCACCGCTAGCTGCAGTTCTACAAGCCGCCAAAGAAGCGGTTGTGATGAGAATTGTCTCCCCCCGCAAGCGACTGCAGACTGAGGTGTACAGACAGCTCAACCCTAAACCCTAAACCCTAAACCCTAAACCCTAAACCCTAAACCCTAAACCCTAAATTGTAAACCCTAAACCCTGATAAACTGTTGTACTTACAAGCCCCAGAGTGGATACAGTGCTCTGCTCCTACACCTAACCCTAAACCCTAAACCCTAAACCCTAAACCCTAAACCCTAATTTTGCGTGCCTAGAAAGAAGAGACAGAAGAGAGAGGAGACAGAAAAAGGAGACAGTTTGTTGAGCTGTCTCTTCTCCACCTGTTGGGGAAATACCTGCAAAAAAGACATAAAAAACCCCTGCTGCTGCTGCTGCTGCTGCTGCTGCTGCTGCTGTTGCTGCTGCTGTTGCTGCTAGTGCAACAGCAGCAAAGCAGCTTGCTGCTGCTGCAGCACGCGCTGCAGCAGCAGCAGCAACAAATAAATTATTAAATTTATGACAAAAATAAAGACACAAACTGCAACTACTAAACAAAACGCAAAAATTCAGATGCGCCAAGACAAGCAGCAGCAGCAGCAGCAGCAGCAACACTTGCTGCTGCAGCTGCAGCTGCAGCTACTGTTGCTACTGTTGCTGTTGCTACTGCTGCTGTTGCTACTGCTGCAGCAGCAGCAGCAGCAGCTAATGCTGCTGAGAGGATGGACTAAAACGAAGAGGACCAGATGTCGCTGCTTCTGCTGCTGCTGCTGCTGTTACTGCTGCTGCTGCTGCTGCTGCTGCTGCTGCTGCTGCAGTGCGTTTTATAGGGTTGTCTACTGCTGGCCGCACAGCAGCAGCTGCTGCTGCTGCAGCTGCTGCTGCTGCTGCACGAAGAAGCACCAGCGTGCTGCTTCATGGAGTTGTAGAGACGGTAAGGGGAGAGGAGACAGCTGCTGCTGCTGCTGCTGCTGCTGCGCGGCGGGGCAAGCAGCAGCAGCAGCAGCAGCAGCAGCAGCAGCAACAGCTTGTCTTAGTACACCTAAAAGATGCAGCAGCTTCTCAACAGGAAGAGCAACAACACAATACTGGAATATATTTTTTTCTGCTGCTGCAGTTTGACATTTGTGCTGCTGCTGCAGCAGCAGTTGCTGCTGCTGCTGCTGCTGCTGCTGCTGCTGCTGTCTTTTTGCTGCAGCAATATCATCCATCTGTTGTCGCTGCAGCAGCAGAATGTTTTCCTGCTGCTGTCTGTGGTGTCTCCACAGCGCATGCATCTCCTCATCGTGCTGCTTGTGCTGCTGCTGCAGCTGCTGCAGCGTGTATTTTCTCTTTAGGATCTGCTGCTGCTGCTGTCGCTGCAGCAGCTTCTCTTCGTTTCTTTGTTTTTCTCTCAACTCAGCTGTCTCCTTTATATGTATAAGTAAAAGTGCATTTGTCTCCTTTTTTATTTTTATTGCCAGTTCATCCTTTTGCTGCTTCTGCTGCTCCTCCAACGTCTGCTGCTCCTGCTGCTGCTGCTCCTGCTGCTGCTGCTGCTGCTGCTGCAGCACACACGGCTGCTGCAGCAAATACCTAAACAACACATATGCGGTGCGGGCCATCGGGGGGCCCCCCTGGTCGCTGCGGCTAACAAACTGAGCAGCGGGGCCCCCTACAGCAGCAG